AAGTCATGTCAATCACTGGATAATCTAAGACAATGGATGTGGTTTTAATGAGAATAATGATTATGAGCCTTCCCCTGAAGATGGTATCAGATTATGACACTGCAGCTATTTCTTATGATCCATCATATCTAAGTCATGTTAATCACTGGATAATCTAAGACAATGGATGTGGTTTTAATGAGAATAATAATTATCCCCTGAAGATGGCATCAGATTAGGACACTGCAGCTATTTCTTATGATCCATCATATCTAAGTCATGTTAATCACTGGATAATCTAAGACAATGGATGTGGTTTTAATGAGAATAATAATTATCCCCTGAAGATGGCATCAGATTAGGACACTGCAGCTATTTCTTATGATCCATCATATCTAAGTCACTGGATAATCTAAGACAATGGATGTGGTTTTAATGAGAATAATAATTTTATTCTTTCTGTTTCACAATTTTCTTGACCTCTCTTTCTGATTGCTTTAATTTCAACAGGAACCTCATCATGTTGTGTCCATGATGTTTCTTGTAAGTGTCATACCTTGCAAGTGAAAGTATGTTTAGCATGACTTATGGAATTTCTCACAGTTATTATTGACAAGTGTAGTACTGTAAACAGATCTTTTGTAGATAAATTGATTTGCAAAAGGCAAAGAACTTTTATCAAAATCTTGACACAAAAAGTAACAAGAACTCATTTTCCATTGAAAATTTATCTGTTAGAGGTGAACCAATGAATACAGAAGATAACTTGTTCAGAAGCTTTAATACTAAATAATAATTGAAAGGCAGTTTTAGTGCTTTTTATTGTTTGCCATGTATTGTGATGAAAACAAATAGTAACTGTATGTAGAAACAGTGAAAATAATGTTGCATTTTATCTAATACTTATGAAGTTACATAAAATGTTTCATGGTTAGGTAATTGATTATAAAGTTTCATTAAATTTTATTGATTTTCTGTAGTTTGTGTGATTTCCAACTACCCTGGGTTTATATGATCTTTGAAGATTAGTTATGTATTCCCCAGTTCATTAATATAACCATTTACCAAGTGTTATTTTAACCAATTTGCAAAAAATGGGAACTTAATCCTCAATGTTGTATCATCATCAGTGTGTATCTCAAATAAGAGGTTTAAATTTTGAAGCATCATTCAAGATGGTACTCATTTTTTGTACAGTTTATTGGAGATATTTTTAATGCATAGTTGGTTAGTGTTTAATGCTTAAACCTGAACCAATCTTGTGAAGTTTACATATATTGTGTATACAGTATTAGTTCTTGTTTTTTGTGAAGTTTACATATATTGTGTTGGTTCTTGGTCTGTAAAATATGTACTTTATTGTGTCTGTGAAAGTAGATTATTTTCTTATGTAACTTATCAATTTCAGATTAGAAAACTAGAAATGGACAAGTTGTACAAAACCATTGAACTTGAGGTGAGAGGTCATGACCCTGCTGTTTTGAAAAGCTATAAATGGTTTGCTTCTGAGGCTGCAAGAAAATTAGATATTTTGGTGTCCAAAACGTTAGTATAATGTTGGTTGTACCTGCATAATTATTAACTTGAGCGACACAAACTTTAATTGCTGTTATATGTAGTATGGTTACAGTTGTATTTTTTAGCGTTGTGATATTATACTGACAGAATCTAGTAAACACAAACTTTAATTGCTGTTATATGTAGTATGGTTACAGTTGTATTTTTTAGCTTTGTGATATTATACTGACAGAATTTAGTAAACAATGTCCATTGCTAGTGTTCATCATGTTTGAGAAACAACAGAAAGATGAGAATTTATGTGAATCATTAACTGGTTTACATTACACTGTTTAAACATTATAACAGCCTTTGTATTTAATATTCTCATATAAACACAAAAGAAATAAAGAGAAACATGGTTAATGATTGTTATTCTTGACAAGAGATAGTACGAATCTCATATACATGTTTTATCTTAGTTTCTCTAATTTCACTGTTAGAAGCAAATTTTTGAAACCTGGCAACAAAATTGACACTTGACACTTTTCTTTCTCACCATGGAAATACTTAACCAAATTACATGAATCTTAGTAAAAGCTTACAATATCTAGTTTCAGCTGTAAAAATCATTTAATTTGATTTATTTCTGCTATTTTTAGGTTGTGAAATTTCCAAGATTTTGTTGAGTAATTGTTTTGAAAAAAAATATTTTTCTATAGAGTTTACATTTTTTTTTATTATTAATCAGAAAGTTCCATTATATATAGTTATATATAATATATATAATTTTCAACTTCGTTGGTATTTGTTAACGTTCTTCATTTTATACTTTATTTTACCAATTGCAATAATCACTAGTTCATGTAATAAAGATTAAAAAACTAACAAAGATCTGACATGTCACAAGCATGTTGGATCAAGCTATCTAACAATATTATTTGTCCAAATCAATTTTTATCTAATAAATATGGTTCCTTTTCAATAGGTATTAAGTTATTGTACCTAGCTAGGTTGATTACATGTGATAAACTTAATAATATTCAATAAATAAGGTTTTTAGTCATTGGAATATCGCTTACCATACTCTTTAAACTTAACTAGGCAGAAAAACAATTCCACACTTTTCGAATAAATATAATTTACCTCAAAAGAATTTTCAGGAACAAAATGTTTACGAAACTAAAACAATTCCAAGATTTGTGGTTTGTTCCTAAGTCTAAGCTTTTCGTTAGTTTTTGTTGTTGTTCTCTTCAACAGCTAGGCCTTATAATTTTCCAGAAAACTATAAATTACTTCTCACACCATTTTATTCATTCTACGTTAACATAAATTTTTAGTTTATAATTTGCTCCCTCCAATGGTGTTTAACTTTGCCTGTAGCTATTTTCAAAGCTTTACTTCACTGATAGTTGCTTGCATGACATGTTGTTTGGTTATAAAAGGGTGGGAAGAGAGGTTGAGCTAATAAAATCGGAGAAAAAAAGGGAAATCATGTGAGAAACAAAACTAGTTTAGCAGATATCAACCTATGTATGGTATGGGCTGAAACACTGTAACAAGCTGTGTGCAAAATTCATCAGAGCTGTTTATAAATGTAAGATTAAACATCTTTTTCTTTGTGTATGACACTAAATAACTGTTAAGAATTGACAAAATATTAATTCTGAAACATTTTTGAGTAAATAGCTCTAATTATTATTTTTACTTAAAATTTGAACTTTGATATGTACAGTTCCTTGCAAAAGTCTTCATCCTTCCCTCTGTGCTGGTAATAAATTTTAAGTATTATCTTGTGAAAGACATAACTCAAATGACCAAAAATATTTATTCTATTAATCTCAGACCAGTTTCTAAAAATTACAAAGAACAAAAGGTGCATTGTTACCCAGTTTAGTGATCTAACACAAAAATCTTGGAAACACATGTTGCAAAAGTCTTCACCTCCTCACTACCCTGTATATTATATAGCCATGTGAAAAAATTCTTTAGGTCATTTTGAGCCATCAGTATTGATTTAAGCAGAGTATTTTGAAAGTTAAAAATTTGGTTTAGTGTTACATATTGAGAATGATGAGTAAAGAACTCTCTACAGACGTGAGGGAGAAGATTGTTCAGAAGCACAATTCTGGATAAGGCTATAAACCAATTTCAGAGAAACCGCTACTGACGAAGGTGCATCTTAGATCATGAATGGACTATGTCTGTAAACATTTCAGTAACCCTTCAGCAATGTGGCAGAAAGTTCTATGGTCAAATGAGACCAAAATAGAACTTTTGAGGTTAAATGACAAACGGTGTGTATAGTGGAAACCCAACATATGTCTCGGCGAATACCATCCCAACTGTCAAGCATGGTGGTGGGTCCATATTGGTGTGGAGATGTTTTTCTGCTGTTGGCATTGGAGAACTTGTACGTATTCAAGGGATCAT